GGAGGTGGCACCCTAGTTTCGGCCCTTACATGTTGTCCTGGGCCTTAACTCCCCCAACCCAGGAATCAAGGCAAGCCTTTGGAATGACTCCCATCTGTGGGCCAAGGCTTGGAAGGGGAGTAGGAGGCAGGTAGACTTATTAAAGGAGAAACTTGGGGCTGAGCAAACTGGGCCCCTTTGGGCAGGGAAGGAGAAGGGAAGATTCCTGGAAGAAGAAAATTAGGCACACTGGGAGCTCTGTTTTGTGAGGGAATGATGCTCTTGTTATTACAGAGGTTAATAATGGTAATGATCTTGAATGGCTGGGTCAGTCCAGAGAGACCAAGCTCTCCACAGTCCTTCCTCACAGAAGCTTTTCTGGAGAAGTCAAGGGGTCCCCAACTTGGTTGTGGTGGAGGAGAATAAAATAAAGACCTTTCCTCTCTCTCCCTGTCCTTTCCTCTGTGACTCCTTGAGGACCCCAGGAAAAAAAGGAACCTTATAAAATCGCCATCACCTTCCCCACCCCCCTTATTTTTCCTCTCCTCTTTGCAGTTCATGGAAAATACACCGTCTTCTTCAGGAGGTGGGCTTTCCTGGGGTGCCCTGTTCATGAAGCAAGCAGTTACCATTCCACATCCCCAGGGATTCTGTCTCTGACCCTGGAGGAGAGAGATCCAGGATTCTCTTGCCTGCTCCATGGAATTCTCCCTCTATCCTTAGCCTTTCCCAAGCTCTGCTTTCCTTGGTCCTGGGTGCCTGGTACCATGGGTCTCTGGCCTCTCAGAAGCCAAGAACAGATTGGGGCATTTTGAGATGCCCTCATCAAGCCCCTATCGTTTCCTTAATTCTGGGTTCCCAGCCTCCTATCATTTCTTTAATTCTGGAAGCACCAGGCCAGGGAGCCCTCCATAAGCTACGCTAAAGCCAACCTAATTCCTAGAACTTTCAAAACTGCCTTTCAGCTCCTCTAAAAGTAAAAGTCCTTTTCCCCCTCTAACAGGAAAGTTTAGGTTACAAATCTCCAGCAGCGCAAGCTTCCTGAAGCCTTAAGTCAGAATTTTCAACAGCAACAACAATGTTAATAATAATAAGAATTAAAGCTTGCATCAAAGGGAGAAAGGGACACCCCAGCTCAAGTTTTAAAGGGGATATAATCCAGCAGCCTTGGATGAGAGTGGGGTAGGGGGGTCAGTGAGGCCAGGATGAGCAAGGAAGGGGGTGGGGAACCCAACCTCTAACTAACAATTTCTCCAGCATAAAAATGAAACATCAAATTCGTTAGCCCAGGGCCTTCATTTTTCCTCTTCCACATTATAACTAGTTATTGAACTCGCTGGAAGATCTAAAGGCCATTTGCGAAGAGACAAATTTCAATGGAGTTTCCCCATCAATAACCCCATGGCAGTGACCTATTGGAACAAGTCAAACACCCGAGGTGAAATGCAGGTCACTCTGTCTAACCAATATTAAAATGCGGCCACTTTTTAAAAAGCCACTTTAAACGAGATTTGAGGAAAATTGAATTCCAAGGAAGGCAAGGCAAGGAGGGGGAAATCCACGAGAGGACCTTGCCTATGGTCTCCGAACAAACAAGAGAAATTCATCTTTAATATTTTAAAGGGGGGCAAATTAACATTCCATGATTGCTTTTTTTTTTTTTTTTTTTTTTTTACTATAAGCGATTCCAGGAGAAAAAAAAAGGTTTAGTATTTTCTGGTGACATGTCCGGGTTATTAAAATCATTTTAGACCAATTCATTACTTTTACTGACAAGAGATTTAAGAAAAAATCAATTAAGCATTTGCATATTCTTTTGCATACATTACCTCTGCCTGCTGGCATTAGAAAGGGACAAAAACACCCATCTATACGTACACACACGACAAGAAATAAGATAGGAGTCTTGCTTTGGTTTGGGGTTTTCAAGTTGCTTGGAGAAAAAATAAAAATGAAATGAATTACTTGATTGCATACCATCTAAAAGTCAATTTATTTGAGGAAGAGGAAAGAGATGTGTTGTGATTTTTTAATCTCTAAAACAACAACAAAACCACACACACACACACACACACACACACACACACAATCCTGCACTTCTGAGAGTGGGAGAAGGAATGACCCTCATTTTCTTTCTCTTTGCCCTCCAAATCCTGAGTTGGCTCTCCCATTTATTTTCTCCCTAGGAAAATCTAGGGAGTCTGAGAGGTGAGATTTTAATGCAGCACAGAACGTGTGGAGCCGCCGAGGTCCTTCAGCCGGCTGCTTGTTACTGGGGAGGGGAGGAATATGGGTTATCCAACGGTCAGTATGGTAATCCGGGCACAATAAGGCCTCGCACACAATGGACACATATTTTTCTTCAGTGGTGTCAGAAGGGAAGCGCTTTGTACTGAAACAGGTTTCCGAAAGAGAAACCGGATCGAGATTCAGAAAGGAGATGGGGAGGGTGGCATTCAGAGAGTGTTTGGAAGCTGGCAAAAGGTGGTCAGAAAAAATTTAGAAATAAAATTGGGTCAGGGAGAGAGAGGTAGAGGGCAGAGCAGGGGTGGGGGGGGGCGGCCCCCCCGGGGGGGGGGGGGGGTGGAGACCCACGGGCTGGCAAGGCAGGAGCAGGAGGGCAAAGCACAAAAGGAGACAGGACCAGATAAGAGGGCTCAACACAGGCAGGAGCGGCTTTAGTACTCCCCCCTCCATAAAGCCAATGCTAAGTGAACTGCCTCTCCAGAAGGATTTCATTTCTGTGATTATAATAATATCCAGGTGAAAATGTCTGCATGTATGTGTATGGTGGAGTCTGGCTGGCTTGCTATTTTCCCTTGTGATAGGTGACTTTCTTGCTATTAAGCTATAGGCACCCAGAAGGAGTTTTATGGCGAATGATGTAGATGAATGTGGACAAATTTGGGGGAGTCTCCCAGATTTCACTTTCTGGAGGTGCGTGTTGAATTGGCTGTGCCAACGTGGAACGAGAACCCCACATGTTTATGGCTGCATAAGGAAGCATCTGATGTATTAACAAGTACTAATAGTATGTATGCATATATATTTGTTAGCCGTAATAACCAAAGACAGACTTGACATTCAGCTGGAGGCAACTGAACTCTGTATCTATGTCTACATATTGGCCCAAGGTGGGTTTTCTGCTCCTGCTCCCTTGAACCACCTGCAGGAGCTCAGAATCTTGGGGAGTGGGGGTGTGGGACCGGCAATGCCTTGGGAAGAACTCCCTAAGAATCCCGAGAAGGTGAAGAGATGGAAGAAAAGAGGGTTGTGGTGGGGGCAGGGCTGGTAGAAGGAGAGTGGGAGGGCTGGGAGCAGAAGAGCCAGGCCCAGACCTCACCTTTCCAAGGTGGGGAAGAGAATATTCCGGGCCAAGACTGGGTGGGGCAACCTGATCCAGGTGCTGGCCTGAAAGAGAGGTTGGGGGTGGGGCTGGAAGGCTTTCTTCTTCTTCAGCAACCCTCCCCCCACCCTACCTGAGCTCTCTGGAGCTTTGGCTCTCCCTGTGGGGCAGTCTGGGGCTGCGGTTCAGACTCTTTACGTAGGCAGCATCCAGCATTGGTTTCCCTCTGCCCTCTTCCAGCAACTTATGATTAACCTGCCCCTACCCCCAATAAAGACGACAAATCAAACCCTCCCAGACTCCACACCACTATCACCCAAGTAGCAGCCTTCTCCTCCTCACAGTTTCACGCTCCTCTTCCAGCCAAACTGGCCAGTCCTCACATGCACACGGTCCCAGACAGGAATGGGCAGAGGTTCTCAACCCACTTGGGAAATCTGGGAATCTCCTCTAAGAGATGGTGGACCTTCAGGGAATTCCTGTTTCCTCAGCCACCTGGTGGGAGGGGGGGCAGGGCACTGTCCTCTTGGGGAGAGGGTATCCAGGAGCCCCCAAGCACTCCTCACTCCTGGTGAGCCTGGGGTGAGGGGGGCCTCGGCATGACATCGGAGGATGTAAGGTGGTCAGCGGGCCCAGGCGGTTCTCATTTCTGCCCTCAGGGTGAGCCCTAATTTGAAGATGGGAACCCCCCTCTCCCGCATCCCTAAGGTGGTGAAAGATAGGTGGGGAATCTCCTGCCTTCGGTCTTCCCTCTCATGAGAGAGCTTTATTTTTTTTTTTCCCTTTCCCCTCCTCATTCCCTTAATTGCAGATGTTCTAATTAAACCCTCAAATAGTTGTTATGCCGTTTTAAAAGGTACTTATTCAAGTGTCAACCAGGCTGGGCTGGGAGGAGGCAGCGTAGGGCGGCGAATTAAAGGTAGATTGACTAATCACGGCGGCGATCATAATAATAAAATCAGAGGGAAAAAAATCACATTACGACTTTTCGTGGAAAGGAGGGAGCAGGCAGCCAGCGGCCGCCAGCCCTGCGCCGCCGCCGACACAAAGAGTGCGGGCGATTCCGCGAGACTGATTTATGACGTTTTACAGCCCTATAAAAGCTGGAGCGACGAGGCAAGCGCTCCTACCACCGCTGGCAGATTTAGTCTAATAAATAAAACATAAACAGTTAACTTTATGTGTCACTTTTATTGTTATCAAGTAAAATATAGCCGAGCCCCGGCAAGCTATGATTTTAAACTATAATTGTTATCAAGTACAACAAGGGGACCCAGCTCCCTCCCTGGGCTCTCCCTTCTGCCACCCCCCAACTCTGAGTTATGGGATCAGCTAATTGGAATCGGTGGCACGGCGTGGCCACCCCTGGCTGCGGGGGGTGGGGGCGGGCGTCGGAAAAAGCAGCCCTTCCTTGCCCCCTCCCTCCTCCAGGGCCCTGCCACCCCGCCATCAGGGTGTTCCTGTGGGTGGGTGGCAGAGACAGGGGAGCGTGGAGGAATGGGCTGGAGACCCCCGAGGCCTGCCCAGCCTCCCCAGCTCGGTGAGCTCACCCCTCAGCTTTTGGAAGGCAGCCTGGAGCTGGCCCTTGGGAGTGTGTGTTTGCATGTAAACACATGTGTTACATGGATACAATCCCTGGCCGGAAGCAGGCTCTACCCACACAGGCCTCCCTCTCAGTTAGGTCGGCTCACTGTGGGGATGAAGAAAGAAGAGCGCTCAGGGCCGTGGCTGGGCACCATCACAGGGCACTGGTTCCTGGCAGATCCCACTTCTCCTCGCCCTAGGTCCTTAGGAACCAGCCCTAGAGGTAGTTGTAAGAAAGCAGCAGGCCAGACGGAAGGAGAGTGGAAACAGCAGCCAGCGGTGGAAGAGATCATCTGCTCTGGGGCTGGGGCAGGGAGGGTCAGTGGGTTCTAGGGGAGGAGGGCAAGGCTTCTGAACTCTGCTTTTGCCAACCACTTCCTGTCTCTCTTCAGCGGGGGGCTCAACCCCCAGACTTCCAGAAATGACGTCAGAATCATTTGCATCCCGCTGCCTCTACCTGCCCGGTCCAGCTGGGACCCTGCCTCGCCGGCCCCATGGCCAGAGGGTTGGGTGAGTGTGTACGGGGAAGGGGGCTGGACTCTGGTATCCTTGGATGGGGGGCACCCCAGGCTCTCCAGCCTCCTGGGCTTAGCCTGGGCCCCTCCCCATCCAACCTCCACTCCAGTCCTCCTCATTCAACTTCCTCTTCCTGCAAAAGAGGGGCGCTGCCCGGTGACCTACACAGACTGAGACAGGATCGCCATGAATGGAGACCTCTGGAAAATCTCAGGAGCCGAGGCCCAGGGGGCCCACCGGAGGCCCAAGGGGAGACCATGGGAGGGGGCTGAATCACAGCCTCCCGACAGCCCCCCAGTGCCCAGGCTTTGGAAGGGAGCTGGGGGCTTCCCATCTCCTTTTGCAGGGGAGGGCTGTCAGTCGGCGGCGGGCTCACTGGGGGCACCTCAGCCCCCGCCAGCTAACCCCACATCACCACCACCACCACCCCCAGCACCACCACCACCACCACCACACACAAAAAAAATTGGATACATTTTGAATAAAGCGATTCGGTTCCTTATCCGGGGACTGGGTTGCTCCGTGTGATTGGCCGGCGGAGTCACATGGTGAAAGTAACTTTACAGGGTCGCTAGCTAGTAGGAGGGCTTTATGGAGCAGAAAAACGACAAAGCGAGAAAAATTATTTTCCACTCCAGAAATTAATGATCATGAGCTCGTATTTGATGGACTCTAACTACATCGATCCGAAATTTCCTCCATGCGAAGAATATTCGCAAAATAGCTACATCCCTGAACACAGTCCGGAATATTACGGCCGGACCAGGGAATCGGGATTCCAGCATCACCACCAGGAGCTGTACCCACCACCGCCTCCGCGCCCTAGCTACCCCGAGCGCCAGTATAGCTGCACCAGTCTCCAGGGGCCGGGCAATTCGCGAGGCCACGGGCCGGCCCAGGCGGGCCACCACCACCCCGAGAAATCACAGCCGCTCTGCGAGCCGGCGCCTCTCTCAGGCGCCTCCGCCTCCCCGTCCCCAGCCCCGCCAGCCTGCAGCCAGCCAGCCCCTGACCATCCCTCCAGCGCCGCCAGCAAGCAACCCATAGTCTACCCATGGATGAAAAAAATCCACGTTAGCACGGGTAGGCAACTTTGCTTTTTGCTCTCCCCCTCCCTCCCCTCTTCCCCAGCGCTCCCCACCCTCCCCGGCCCCCTCCGGCCCCCGTCCTCCTTTCTCTCCTTCCCCCTCTCTCTCCAGGAGCGACTCTGGGTTAGCACAATTGAACTGGATTTACGAGCGAGAATGGGTAATTACATCCCCCATAAATTTTATGGCTTAGCTACTCTGGGCAGTCCGAGCCATGTGCTACGATCTGTTATGTATGTGTGAAAACTATGCTCGCTTTCTAAGGGCGCATAAATAATTCAGTGTCGTTACAATGAGGATTCCCCTCTTATTACACTACAAAGTCTCCAGCTTCCTTCAACTTCTTTATAACCCATTTAGCTTGATGACTTTATTTCCACCACCCCCTCCTCCTGTTCCACAGAGCTGAGGATGGGGTGAGGGTGGGGGGCGGGAGTCTGCTGCCTCTGAACCCCACTATTTGCTTTTCCCCTCCTCCTCCCCCCCCCCAGTGAACCCCAATTATAACGGAGGGGAACCCAAGCGCTCGAGGACAGCCTACACCCGGCAGCAAGTCCTGGAATTAGAGAAAGAGTTTCATTACAATCGCTACCTGACCCGAAGGAGAAGGATCGAGATCGCCCACTCGCTGTGCCTCTCTGAGAGGCAGATCAAAATCTGGTTCCAAAACCGTCGCATGAAATGGAAGAAGGACCACCGACTCCCCAACACCAAAGTCAGGTCAGCGCCCCCGGCCGGCGCTGCGCCCAGCACCCTCTCGGCAGCCACCCCGGGCACTTCTGAAGACCACTCCCAGAGCGCCACGCCGCCGGAGCAGCAACGGGCAGAGGACATTACCAGGTTATAAAACATAACTCACACCCTGCCCCCACCCCATGCCCCCATCCTCCCCCTCACACACAAATTGACTCTTATTTATAGAATTTAATATATATATATTTTTTGGTTCTTTTCTCTCTTCCTCCCACCTTATCCCTTGTCAATTCCAAACTGACAAAACAGATAAGCCCTCTGCCCTTCTCTCCCTTCCACTGTTAAGGACCCTTTTAAGCATGTGATGTTGTCTTAGCATGGTACCTGCTGGGTTTTTTTTTTTTAAGGCCATTTTTGGGGGGTTATTTATTTTTTAAGGAAGAAAGCTGCAAAAATTATATATTGCAAGGTGCGATGGTCTGGTTTGGGTGAATTTCAGGGGAAATGAGGAACAGAAAAAAAGGAAAGAGATTTTTAAGCCAATTCTCCTCCTTCTCCTCCTCCTCCTTCCCCCCTCTTTCCTTAGGCCTTTTGCATTGAAAATGCACCAGAGGAGGTTAGTGAGGGGGAAGTCATTTTAAGGAGAACAAAGCTATGAAGTTCTTTTGTATTATTGTTGGGGGGGGCTGGGAGGAGAGGGGGGAAGACAGCAGACAAAGCTAAATGCATCTGAAGAGCCTCTCAGAGCTGTTCAGTTTGAGGAGCCAAAAGAAAATAAAAATGAACTTTCAGTTCAGAGAGGCAGTCTATAGGTAGAACCCCCCCCCCACCATCGTGGTTATTGTGTTTTTGGACTGAATTTACTTGATTATTGTAAAACTTGCAATAAAGAATTTTAGTGTCGATGTGAAATGCCCCGTGATCAATAATAAACCAGTGGATGTGAATTAGTTTTACGTCAATGTCTGATGGTTTCTTTTTATCCCCTCCTCCTTCTGGCCTGATAACATCCCCCCTTCTCGATAGTTGCCTAAGTTTACTCTAAGCAAACACACAAATCTTAACTCTCCACTCCGTTTCCAATGTCCTTAGAAGAACCAGCCAGGGGGTTGGGGCAGGGGATCCTCAGAAGAGGGCATATGGAGGATTAGTGCTGATCTCTCCTGTCCCTTCCCTGAGTCTGCAGAGGCCAGACTCTTCTGGGGGTACTTAGAGTGGAGCTGGGAGGGTCTCACTTCTCTGTAGTTAGGTACCCGTCTTCTTTTTGTTGATTTCCCTCTCCCCTCTTCTCTTTTCTCTCTGCTGAGTAGGCCTGCCTGATTTGTAGACAAGAAGGCAAGTTTAGGGAGTGGGACAGAGAAGAGTTTTCATCGTTTTGGACCGTTTAGGGATGAGGGATTAAGGAAGATGCCCCCTCAACAGCGTGTGCTCCTTAAAAGAAGGAAGATTTTGAGCTCGTGATTCTGTAGCAGTGAAGTGACCTGTCAGGGTGGCTTCTCTGTTTGTTTAGACTTGGAAAGAAGGGTGAAGTGGAGGCCAGAGGCCTGGGAGGCCCCCTTGCATGGGTAGGCCTCAAAGCCTGATGCCTGGAGATAATGAAGAACTTTTATTTTTTTCCATAACTTTTATCATGGACCTGCCAGGTGTTGAGAAAAGACACAGGGAGAGGCAGGGACCACCCCTTTTCCTATAACCTCCCAGGTCCTGGCAGGGATTGAAGTTAGCTGAAACAAGGCTCTCCGGCTGTTAAAAAAAATTTTTTTTTCCAGTTGTTTCCCCGGGGGCTAAAATGAGGGAAACAAACAAACAAACAAACAAACAAACAACAACAACCAAAACTGGCCTGAATTACCTGAATAATTAATTTAAGCCAAAGGCTCCCAAATAATCCTGATCTTGAAGACCAGGCCTTAAGCAAGGCCTGCTCAAATTTTTGCTTGTTTGTTGGGAGAAGGGGCAGGGGGTAGTATTTGGTGAGTTTCTCAGACAATTTATCCAAATTTCCGAATTGAGGGCTCCAAGAAGAAGAGATGAGGGAGAAGAGATCTGGGATTTGTAGAGGAGCCAGGGATACCCTTATCCTCTCTCCCTAAATTCTGGAGTGGAAGGTAACAATGGGACCAGTTGTGAAAAGCTGTTGTTCAGTATGCTTTGGATTTATTTCCTCTTGAACCACTTGCTGGCTGGTACTTGGAGTGGAGTGTGTGTGCATGCGTGTGTGTGTGTGTGTGTGTGTGTGTGTGTGTGTGTGTGTGTTGGGGGGAATCACTTGGTCCTGGAGGTCTACTTTCCCCTCCCTCAATGGTGCCCTGGAGACAGCAAAACATGCTGCCTACAGTGTGCGGAAGCAGGGCCAACAATTATCTGGAGTTATTTTATGTGATCAAGTGAATTAGGAGCCAAATCTGACTGTAGCTCCTATCATCTTGAGGCAATTGACTTTGGGGCAGTAAAAGGGGGTCTAACTGTGCTTGGGAAAAGGGAAAGAAGGTCTGGGGGGGGGGAAACTTGGGTGTCTTTTCAACCCTGTAAGGAAGTTTAAATGGAAAAGGGGGGTGGGGAGAAAGAAAAGGAACTTAAGATCCATAGTCTTTTCTAACTTTGCTTCTTTGGTTTTAGAGGAATTTAATCCCCTCTCCTCCCAAAAGTGGAAGAGATGAAAGCAAGGAGGAGAAAAATCACCATCTTTTATTTCTTAAGCTTCTCTCTGAACTTGCGAAAGGGACGCTGTCTAGCGCAGGAAAACATCCGGAAAGGATTGGGACTGTTCCTTTATTTCCCCTTCTTTAGGGGCTTCTCTCTCCTCTCACACATACTGTACACATAGTTCTCTGTCCCGCTCCGTCTGAAAAGGGGAAACATTAGAAATCTGTAATTCTTGACCCATGAAACAAAACGAAACCCCCTTACATCTGAGTTTGTGAAGATTTTGGCCTCTGGCCTTCCCTCCAGTGGGCTCCATTCTCTCCTCTTTCCCCAAAGCTCTCCTTTCCTTGGACCTGACTGCCCAGAATGGGATCAGGGTGCCGGAGAGGGATGGGGTGGGGGGGGGGGCGGAGGAGGGAGTGAGGGGCATGAAGGGCCGACCCCTTGGCCGGACCCCTAGTTCCAGAGGTCTGGGTCCCCGCTGCTGCTCCACTCGGGGCTGCTCCAGCCTCACTGGGAAGCCGAGGGCTGGAGTTTTTATTGAAGTTGGGTTGAGCAGAGGGGAAAGGCTGCTGGGGGGGGGGGGTGCGGGGAGGACGCAACCCAGGTTCACGGGGAGGACACAGCATTTTCTCTCCCATCGCCTTTATATTCGGCAGCGCCTCTGACCTCTCCCCCACCCCCATCTCCGACCCTCCCAAACCAGCCCTCGCTCAGCCCCTGGTCTCCAGATACGATGCCACTGCTTTTGTAGGGCTGGAGATTTCTTGCCCACAGTAATGGGAGAGGCAAGGCGCATGAATGCCTGCCAGCGCGTTGTATCTCTCTCTCCAATGGCTAAGTTAAAAGAAGACGGGGTGAAAGCGGCAACGCCAGTCTTCCAAGGTCCTTCTCTCCAAGCACCAGGAGATCCCCACAGGTCAAAAATCCCCTTGACATGTAAGTAGTTAGCACTCGATCTGCTCAGGGCAAGGAGTACAGCATTTGCAACTCTGTCTCGTTTTGCCATTCAGTTTTTAGCTCAACTCCCGATCTTGGGGAGGGAAGGCGGGAAATCCAATCCTGAACGGAGGGCTTCCGCTTGGGGGAAATGGAGTTTCTGGGCCGAGTCTTGTACCTGGGGAGTGAAGAAACTTCGCTCCAACAGGAGAAGGTGGGGAGGGAAAGTGAGCCTGGGGTGGGGGAAGGACTGGGGAACTTTACTTCTCCGAGGGCCTCTCGCTGCTGCTTGCATGAAGTTTCCTACAAAGTTTTCTCTGCAATCTGGGCATCAGCTTCTGGGTTGTTTTTTTTTTCTCCTGCGTGGACTTAGCAGATTGCAGTGCAGAGCCGCCTTCCTGCTGTGAGATGGATGTGTATGTGTGTGTTTGGGGGAGTGGTAGGGAAGATAAAACAGGGGGTTCTCAGAGCTTGGGACCAGGGTACCCTCTGCTAGGCACCATTTGTCTGCTTGTCCAAGATTAGGGGAGACGGACTCCAAAGGGGGCCCTTGAGGTGGAGGGTGCTATGATGGGAGAAGCAGCATGCCGACGTGATTCCACATCTTTGCCTCTGCTTTTTGCCAAGTCCTGGGGGGAGCATTGGTGTTGCCCTCACAAAGCTCCTTCTCGTGGTTTTCCACAGTTTCTATCTGGTACCCCACCTTCGAAGAGCTAATTCTAAGAAACCCTTTCCAGCCTCGGAGAAAGAGACGAAGGATTCCCCCCCAACACCAGCGGCCATCAGAACAGAGAGGATATTTATTACCTCTCTGGATATCATTATCTAAGAATACAATTTTATGAACTTCCTAATCTGTTAGCTTGATTTATCTGGTGGGCAGAAGCCCAAAATAAACATTTGGGGGATTTGGTAGGAAAAAAAAAAAAAAAAAGAGCCTTTGCCTCTGACCACTCTTTCTGGTAGAACTGATCACCCCCTACCAACTTGGCCTGCTTTTGCTGCACCCCATAGAGCTAGCCCCATTTTAATTTTTCTCTGCAGCGCGTGACTGTTTGGGGTATCGGAATTTTAGCTGCCTCTTGGGGGTTAAAAATGGTAGGGTACACTGTGTGAACCAGAGACCTGAAGGGGTCCCTCAGCCACCTTAAAGTCTGTGTACCTCCGGGAGCTCAGATCCCTTTTGGCTTTGCTAGCAGGGAGAAACCAAGGTTTGCTCCTCTGCCCTCTAGGTCCAGGAGCCCCTTCTCAGACCTGGCTCTGTCTCCACTCCTCAGGATTTGTCTTCTCTTCTCTCTGCCATCAGCTCTGTAGCTGCTTTTTTAAAAAGGGTCCATCCAGCAACGGAGCCCACATCCGCGCAAACAGGGTCAAGGGCCTTTGCAGTTTCATCCTCCTGTAGACCCAGCTAGCTGATGAATTAAATTAGGAGGCAGAAAAGACAAGGATGGGTAGGGAGGGTCTCCCATGTTTGAGGGTGACTAGGGTTACATAGCCTAATAAATGGAAAGGACTATTTAAAATTTCCAGTCCCCAGCAGCAATGGCCAGATTTCCTAAAACGTAGGGCACTCCAGGGTCTGTTCTGCCAGCCGTGATGGGGATATGGGTCAAACCCAAAGAAGTGTCACCTCGGCTCACTCCTCCTTTCTGACCCTCTCTTCCCACTTCCAGCATCTAGAGAGGGAAGTATATTTGAACTTCCGGGGGCGAAGCGTTAAAACGGAGCGTGTGGGAGGCACTGCCAAACAGTCCGACCCCAGGTCCCCGCTGCCGGCCTCTGGCCTCCCAGGCAGCCGGTGCGAGAGAATGGGGCCCAGAGCGGCTGCCGCCACCGGGGGTCCCGGCTCCCTTCTGGAGCGACCGGGGTCCTGAGGATGGCGAGATGGGGCCGGCCCGGGCAAAGGTGAGGTGCGAGAGGCCGGCAGCGGCCCGGCGCCCCCTCCGGGTTCCACGCCACGGCCGCCCCGGGCGCCGTGTCGCCTTCGGCTGGGTCACGACCCCGGGCTCGGACCGCGGACAATAGGGCTCTGGGCGGGGGCCTCGGGCTGCGCGGCCGGCCGGGCGGGTTCACTGCGCGGTGAACTCCGCTCCACCTCCGGGGTCTCGCCCTTTAAGAGCCCAAGCTCCCCCCCCCCCCGCCTTTTTTTTTTTTTTTTGCCCTCTTCGGCCTTCATTTTTTTTTTTTTTTTCGTGGAAAATTGAGCACACTCTCAATTGCTCCTCGACCGACCGATCCCCCACAGTTACCACCACCGAATGAGATTTCATTTTCGCTAGCAATGAATGCATACTTTTCTCCGAGTTACAAGAGCGGGGAAATGGGACCCTCTCAAGATTTTTGTGGGCACAGAGAGAGAAGCATCCCAGGT